TCTTCTTATCCGGAGGAATCACACTCCCAGGCTTAGAATATTGGGACATCGACGTACCTTGACCACCCTTATCTGCCATATCTCCTCTGTCTGTCTAGTCCTCTAGCTCTGAATACTTCTTAATTGCCTTTCACAAATGAAAATGATAAATATTAATGGTAGCTCTTATGTTTCACAATTGAAGAGAACATTGGGTATTTATAGAGGGTTATGTTATACTTTTTCTCTTGATATTGCATGTGGTGTTGGTGTGTGTGTGTGTGTTTGTGTGTGTGGGTGTAGGAACTCAAACTCAATGACGGTTTACGTGTCACGAGTGAACGTGGAATTTCAAATTTGGTCTAGCATCCCCACACAGGTCTTTCCTAAATTATCCCAGTAATTAAAATAAACAATTTAGAAAAGAAACACCTAATTAACAATAATTTATTTGAATAAACTCACTCCCAAGGTTAGCCGAATTGAAATACTCTCTCTAAACAGATAAATTAAAAAAATAAAAATAAAATAAAAAATAAAAAACAACATGTATTTCTCTGTTCTGTCCAATACATGTGATTTAAGAGTGATTTTTGAAATGATTTAGATAAATATTCCATTAAACATAGGTTTCCTTAATTTTTATTTAAATTATCAAGAAAAAGAAAAAAAAAAAAAAAAAAAATGTCCTTTAAAAAAAATTTATGCTTCGAGTTCAACTTTTGACCACACATATGTGTGTATATTTACCTAATCTATACGGGATATAATATGGACAGAGAGAGTGAGAGGGGAAGAATGGTGGGATTTTTTAGTTAGATGATGCTTTTCCTAAGCAGTTCTTGCAATCTTCCTCAAATTTGCTAATTAATTTGCATAGTTGAATGGGGTGACAACAAGTTTTGTAGTTTCTTTTCTCTATCCAAGTTATTTCCATTCTTCTTCTCACCTACCAGTCTCCAGCTTTGACTCTCTTGAATTTCCAGATTAAAGGAAATCTCTTGAAATATAATCTTTTCCAATAATTTGGCTCTAGTTAATGCAAGTAGCTATCATGTCCTTGCATGTCAATATAGAAACAGAATCATGCATGACCAATTATATGTGTCACTAAAATCATATATATATATATGTGTGTGTGTGTGTGTGTGTGTGTGTGTGTGTGTATTATCAGACTTTTAACCAAAAAAAAACTATATAGTATCAGACATTCAATTTCAATGATTCGATTGGATGCTGTGAAAATATTATTGGAAAAGGATATGCACATAAATAATGGTTTAACATTCATCTAATCAAGATTATTAATTAATTGATATAGTAATTACTTTGACAGAGTCATATATGAGAGGTAAGTTAGTAAGAATTTCAGAGAAAATTAACGGAAATTTTAATGAGCAATGCATGCATGTTTGCAGTCTTTTCTTGTATGTTTCTTACAATCGAATTAGAAACATATACGTTATTGTTTTGGTTCACACTGTCACTTCCCTCTCTTTTCCAACCATTATACTGGTTTTGTTTATATTTCCCAACTTAAAAGAAAAGTTATGTTGAATTCTTTGAACTGTCCAAGTTTTTGACCCATGTTTTATAAACGGTTCATTTGGTGAATGTGTTTACTGTGTGTAATTTAAATTCATTTTCGAAGAAATATAATAATGCTTTTCAAGAACTAGAAAGAAAAGTATGCAAATCTGCCAGTGGAGACTAGTCTTACCGTTCCTTTATTCCCATTAGATTAGTATTCCCTGTGAGAGAAGAAATGTGAAATTGAAAATGTTGGAACATATATGGTACTTCAGTCAATTAATTTAATGCTAAAAGATAATAAATCATCATAGAAGACCCAAATGCCACCTGTCCGTCCGTACGTAGCCCAACCAATCAACCAAATCAAACCAGATTGGATTTCGATACTCATGTAAATTCCTAAAGATATACTCACATATTTTTATTTTTAACCATTTAGGCTAAGTTTTTTTTTTTAAAGGGTAAACTTGTATTAAAGAGAGAGAGAATATACATAGTGCCCCAAGAGGGGAGAGAACCGGAAAGATACAACCCAGCCAAAGAAAACTAAACAAATCTATCCAAAACATAACATAGCAGCACACTATTGCCTACAGCTAAATGCATAACCCATCCAAGCACAATCAAACACTGCCTCAGGCAAATTCTGCACAGCTAAAAGATTAACCAAGAATGCACAACAGATGACGAACAGGCCTGCACAAAAAGACTTTGAAGATCTTGCTCAGTTGTGATTTGTCTAAGGTTGGAATCCCTTTTAAGCTTGATTGCTGCAAGTTATGCTCCGGTGCAAGTCTTGATTTGAGAAATGATATGCTGGTGTGAGGTGGAGACATTTCTGAAAGCTTTCTCTCTTGCCATAAGAAATAGATTGCTGTAGAAAGCAAGAGTTTGTGAGTCAAGAAATCTGAAGAGGTCCAATGTGTTGTGCACCAATGGATTAAATCCATCCAACAATTAAGGATTAACTGAAATCCTGCTACTTCGTGAAGGAAACTCCAAATTCGTGAGCTGTAAGAACACCTAAGGAATAGGTGATCCAAAGATTCATTCTCTGATAAAATATTTTTTATTTTTTATTTTTTGATATTTGGCAAATATATAGGTCGAGTCTATCAAGTGAGACGTATAAAATAACTTTGTCAAAATATATGAATAAATTATTTTTGTTATGTTTACACTCGGTCAGCTCAGTACCGGATTCCATGCTTGCCGGTGAGAAGGAGTGGTGTTGAGCCTATCCTCCAACCATCACCACCACCCAGTACACACCCGGGAACCACCATCACCGTAACCTGAAATTCGTGATAACCCCTCCGGTGATTAAGAGTGAATTTATCAATTCTTTTTTGTCAATTCGAAGTGATAATCCTTGAATTATCAACAATAACAATGAGATCAAAGAACCCATAAACCCTCGATTCAAAGTCTTTTAGGATCATTATTCCTAGTGTTTACTTTGGATATCAATTCGTCTCTGTACTTGATTAAAAAATATACATGCATTGATATATATATATATATATATATATATATATATATATATATATAACACTTCTCTGATACTCTTTTTCTATTAATGAACTTTTTGATTACTAGTATTTTAGTTTTTTTTTATGATTAAACTTTGTTTTTCTGGTGGTGATCTTAGAGAGAGAGAGAGTGAAGGCTCGCACTCATATAGAGAGAAAGTAACCTGTAAAAGAAGAGGGAGATAGAGAGAGAAAAATGATAAGAATCTGCCGGAATATCTCGTCAGTTCATGCCTTCATAGTGGCCGTCGTTGGCCGGAATATGTCCAATTTAGTGGTGGTGTCGTTGACCGGGAAAAAATATCGCCTAAAACAGAGGGGTAGAGAAAATATTTTGTTTATCCATTATTATTTTTTAATTTCTTTCTTATTATTATTATTTTAACCCAGGTAAATGTCACTATTAAAATATTGTTAAGTATAAAATTCCATTGTCTTTCACCTTTACTATGTGTCATGCATGACTTTGAACAAGTCTAGTAAATTAGTAATGACTTTCTGCTTTTATATCATGACCTGCTTAAATTAGACAAAAAAGGGTAAATTACACCCAGACCCTATAAGGTTAAGTCATTTCTCATTTAAATGAAGATTTTGGTTTTAATTTTCGTATATCACTTACACCCCCAAATGCCCCAAATTGACATTTGGGGGGTGTAAGTGAAATACTTAGTAGGTATAAAATGACTATTCTATCCTTTTAACTATTTGTTAACTTAAAAAAAATGTATTTCAAATTTTTCATGACAAAAATACCCCTCAATTTTTTCATGACAAAAATACCCCAATCACCTTACAAGCCGCAACTGTTTGTATTCAACAAATAACTGTTGCCTTTTTTTTTTTCCTGACAATGATGTTAGCTACTATAATTGCTTAATTAAGAAAGTCTTATTTCTTTCTTAATTGCTTGCATATCTTATTTCTTTCTTAATTGATTACATATTAGAATTTAAAACCGTGCTTAATTGCTTAATTAAGAAAGAGTCTTATTTCTTTCTTAATTGTTTGCATATCTTATTTCTTTCTTAATTAGTTGCATATTAGAATGTGAAACAGTGCTTAATTGCTTAATTAAGAAAGAGTCTTATTTCTTTCTTAATTGTTTGCATTGCTTAATTAAGAAAGAGTTTTATTTCTTTCTTAATTGTTTGCATATCTTATTTCTTTCTTAATTGGTTGCATATTAGAACGTAAAACAGTGGTATAATATTAGCATTCTTGCTGAGGGTGCCTATTGCATGAATGAGTTCAGAGAGAATGGGGCTTTTTAGTAGAGAATTGAGAGCTTCCTTTCCTCAGCCCATTACTCAATTCTAAAAGGATTTCTCCTACGGTCGTCAAATAAGAGCACCTGGCTATGCCCATTCACAAGGACATCTTGCACAATCCCCCTTTTTTTTTTTTTGGAAAAAAATCTGGTTACAATCCTATAATACAATTGGCTAACAAATTTTAATTTAAATTGAAAACATGTAAAACAATTGTAATTTTTTTTTTTTTTTTAAACCTCTAAAATCCTACCTGTTACAGTCCAATTTTTAAAACCTATTACAGGATTGCAAATTTTTAAAACCTGTAACAGCAATTGATAAGCCAAAATATGTGCTATGTCTGTAATCCAATTTTTAAAACCTGTTATAGCAACTCAAAGTCTCAAAATATATATATCAATACATTCCCAACTTAAAGTCTCAAAATACATAATAAATAATTCCCAACTTAAAGTCTCAAAATATATCAACACATTCCCAACTTAAAGTCTCAAAATATCGTAAATATCAAATACCGAACTTAAAGTATTAAATAATTGCAACAAATAGAAAATGTTATCAAATTCATTACATCTTCAGTTGGGACTTCTAATTCATATTATAATCAAAATATGTGCTCTGTGTGTGAAAGTTAGCTCATATAACCAATTAATTGGTGTTAGCACTGTACAAAAAATCTATCTCAATGGTGTTTATAGGTCCTACTTCCTGGTGCAACATGAAGCCTGAAATGAAACCAAAAATATTTATTATAATACAATTATATACTTGAGAGCTTTGTGTTTTGTTGTTATTAGGATCAATAAATGAACTACATACCTAAGAGCCTTGTGTTGATTTGCCTTGAGTTGCTTTTGTTGCTGCTGCCCTACCTGAAGCCTAATATGAAAACAAAAACATAAATAACATACAACAGTGCTTTAGAAATCTGAAAAAAAAAATAAAAGAAAAAAATAATAATAATAATTGAAATGAAGAAATCTTTATTCAATGAATTTAACACCTCAGAGCCTTCTGTTGCTGTTGTTGTTGATCTAATCCTTTTTGATCTTTTTGGTGGACATCTTCTTCCTTCTCTTGGGCCTACTGCTGTTGATGATGATGATGAGCCTACTGCTGCTACTCTTGCCTCTTTTGCAGTAGGAGCTTTTGACATCCCCTTTTGTTGTGTCCAAAATGTCCACATACACTGCACTGCACAACAGTTGACCTTTTCCTTGCTTCTGCTTCACCATCCTCCCTCTTCCTTGACATTCTTGGTCTGCCACAGGGTCTTTTGAACTCTAGTGGATCCAATTCAGGTTTTTCAACCTCAGTCCACATACTTTCATGACGCATGGGGTGGATGAAAGGAGTGTAAGTCTTTGTATATGTATCCTTGTTGTAGAAATCTGAACATAACTTCTCAATATCTACCCTTGTGGTAGTAATGGCTGCACATGCATGCATACAAGGAACTCCACTCACTTGCCATTCCCTACAACAACAAGTCCTCTCCCCAAGCATAACAATATAACTCTTCTGTTTTGCATTATCAGTTACCTCATACACAACTTCAGCGGGCCATGTCAATTCACATGTACCAACTTTGGATATATTGGAGTTCAGTCTTCTCTTAATTTTTGGCACTACTATGGTTGTCCAATCTGTTGTCCTTTGAAACCTTTTGTTGAATTTGGACATCAGTTTTGTTCTTATACATTCAAAAACAGCAGTGATTGGTTTTGCTCTAACATTCCCAAGCCAAGAATTAAATGACTCCACATGATTATTGGTGACATAGTCACACTTCACCCTATCATCAAATTTGTGTCTTGTCCATGTCTCCAAAGGATGCTCCATCAACCAATTTGAGGCATCCTGACTAATTGACTCAATCTGCCTCATTGCAATTTTGAAATCTTCTTCATTATATGCATTTATAGCTTCCCAAAATAGTTTCTTGTACTTCACACCAGGCCATCGTGTCCTAAAGTTAGCATATATGTGCTTGCAGCATCTCCTAGTTATTGCCTGTGCAAAAATTGCAGAGAGAGCAGTTAAAATGCCTTTTTGGCCATCTGACATAAAAGTCCATGGCATATTAGTTGCTGTATCACCTAAGAATTTATGCAAGTGATCCAGAAACCATTTCCAACTGTCGTTAGTTTCAGACTCAACTACAGCTACTGTAAATGGATAAAATCCATTATTTCCATCAAGTCTTACTGCACTCATCAACATACCCCTAAATGGCCCCTTTAAAAAACACCCATCAATACCAATAAATGGTCTGCAACCATTAATAAAACCATTTTGACATGCTACAAATGATAAAAAAAAAAATAAAAAAAAATAAAAAAAAAAGTCTCTTGAACTTGGGAGGGTCATCTATAGTTGGTCTTATAAAAATTAAACTCCCAGGATTAGTTTTAACCACCTCAGCTGCATATTTCCACAGCTTTTTATATGAAGTAGAATGGTTCCCTAGAATCTGTTCTTTTGCTATATTTCTAGCCCTCCAACAAGCAACATGACTTGCAATTGCAAGAATTTTTTTTCGAACTTCTTCTTTCACTTCTTTGATACTAATATCAGGATTCCTTTTAAACTTCTCTATAAGCTTTTTTGCTATGAAAGGTGCAGTCACACTCTTGAGCTTACTTATTCTGATGCAAGTGTGCTCTGGGCCTACAGATTTCACCTTATATATTAACTTATCAGCCAACATGGTTGCATGAATTCTCCAACTACAGCCTGGGTTGGCACAGTGACAAGTAATTCTACCAGTCTCATTTTTTTCCCTAAAAAGGTTAAAACCTTTCTGGACTGAATACTCCACCAAAATGTCTCTGAAATGGCAGATGTTATAAAAAATATGGTCCTTCTCAAATTCAATTTTTCCCCCTTCACCATATTTGAACAACTTCCCCTTTAATGATTTATGTAAATAATTCATGGTCCTTGTTACTTTTCTTCTTCTCCCTTTCCTTACATTACTGTCTATTTCATCCTCACTTTCTCTAGTCAAATCTTAATTCTCACTGTAATTAGATAACCCATCACTGCTCACATCTGGAATTTCATTTTCCAAGCCAATGTTTTGAACATTATGATCTCCCAAATTCTCGACTTCTTCATGAACACCAGTCCAATCTTCATCATCACTGTCACAAAAACTATACTCCGATCCACCACCATCACTCTCATTATTCTCTTCTTCACTCACCTCTTAACCAACATTCTCTTCTTCATTCACCTCTTCACCAACATTCTCTTCTTGCCTCACCACTACTTCTATCACCTCTTCAACATCACTGTCCCCATCCAAAATATTACTAGCATGTGAAGCCAAACAATATTGAGCCACTTCAACATCAATGTTGATATCAGTACAGCCTTTCATCATCTCAAATATGATTATCACATCTTCATCTGCTTCTACCAACATTCTCTGATCAGTTCCAGGAAATTTAAAGAAAAAATTCAATGCCGCACTTTTCTGAACATCATTTTTCAGCAATACAATAACATTATTATACAACATGACATAACTGAACTTGTCCGGATGAACATTCCCTATTACATGTATGTGTCCCTCAAAGTGAACAATGATATCATGCAATCTGTCATATACCATTTCAAACTGGAATAACACACAACAAACATGTCAGATAATATCTTTAAAAAAAAAAAAAAAAAAAAAAAAACTTCACTGGAATTACAAATGAAATGCAGACTTGCATAAATTTTTCCAGAAGTTGGGTACAGTATGCAGAAAAATTGAACCAAAACATGAACACGCAGAATAACAAATGAAATGCACACACTTAAATTGATAAAAATCCAAAAGGAACCAAAAAAAAAAAAAAAAGAAAAAGAAAAAAGAAAAAAGAAAGACTAATTGCAATCATATATATATATATATATATATATATATATATATATATATATATATATATATACTCAATACACTCAAAATTCATCAATTTAATTCAGTATGAACGTCAACTAAACTTAAAAATTAGAACCAGAAATAAAAATGAAATATTTTACACGGAGAGAAGGAAAAAAAAAAGCAAACAAATGAAAAGGAAACAATTAAATCATTGGATAAATTGATAGAAATCAAAAAGGAACCAAAAAAAAAAAAAAAAGACTAATTGCAATCATATAATACAAAAAATAAATATATACTCAATACACTCAAAATTCATGAATTCAATTTGGTATGAACATCAACTAAACATAAAAATTATAACTGTTCTAGCAAATTTTCAGTAATAAAAATGGCATATTTTACCCAGAGAGAAAAAAAAAAAAAAAAAAAAAGGCTAGAACGAGAACTAGAAATTTCATTAAATTAGGGTTAATAAACCTTAATTTAAGCACACCCACAACAAAACATAAACATTTAGGGTATGATCATACCTGAAATTAGGGTTCTTCAACAGTCCACGGTTCTTCAACAGTCCAGGATACAGTCTTTTTCATATGGGAAAACAAGATTCAGGAAGATGATCTGACACTCCCTGAAAAGAAAGTAGTGGATTAGTCCGATTCTCCGAGCATCTATTATCAGTTGAGTCAGTTGATCCGGTTTGGGATCCTTACCCGAGCATCTATTAGCAATTGAGTCAGTTGATCTGGTCTGGGATCCTTATCCGTCATTGTATGCAACGCTTTCTCCCTCGCCTGACCACATTCTGCCTTGATCTTCTCGGTCCAGTTGCTTCTTTTCGCCTCTTCGTGTGTGGGTCGATGGCTATATCTGTATTTGGTTCAGAGAGAGATATAGAGCGGGGTGTTGGGTGTGGTGTGGTGTGTGTCATTTGGTGTGTATTAGTATATAATAAGAGGGGTAGTTTTGTCTTCTAGAGTTGCAGATTTTTTTGTTTTAAATTGTATTAAAAAAAAACTAAGAGTAAAAGGGTCAATTCACATGTGTCAGAGTCCAAAAATTAAATTGGGGTGTAAGTGAAAGTTAAAACCCAAATCTTCATATAGGTGAAAATGACCTAACCTCAGGGGGTCTAGGTGTAATTTACCCGAAAAAAAATGATTAATACAAAATCACATCTTTGGATATGATTGGTTTATTTACTTGGGCCCGCAAAATAATGGAAAAATTTTAAATTTTACTATTTAATTTTACATATTTTCAAATATGCTAACTTTTTTAAAGTAATAAATTTGAATGCTAAGTTTTTGAAACTAATTATAAATTTATACAAAAATACTATTTAATTTTTTTTTTGATCCAAAATGCCCTTCTTCTTTATTACCCTTCCCAAATGATATCCTACATTATTCCCCCAACCTAGTAATACTGTTTCAAACCCACAACAGCCAGCAAGGATGTGACTGGCGAACACTAGGACGGCGGAAAGGATGATGGCGAGCAAGAAGGACGCAAGGCTGTCTGGATGTGGGTCTGTTGGGTCTGTTCGGCGTGAAGTTGCAAGGAGGAAGCCACCGGGGACGAGCAAGGAGGAAGCCAGGCCAGGCGGAAACGGCAAGCTTGGATGATGGCAGCAGTGATGCAGCTGCTCGGCGAGAATGAATCGAACGAAAATTTGGACCACAACCACCGGACTGAAATGGGTTTCGCCGAAAAGGAATGCACCAAATTGAAGTGTGTTTTGCATCAGCTTGGAACTCACCAGAACTGGAGTGGACTTCATTGGACTGAACTTGGTTTTTTGGTAATTCTTAAAATTTGAAGATTATTTTTTTAAAAAACAAAAAAAGAGTTCAAAATAACTTATTTTTAAGTTTTTTTTTTTCAAAAAAAAAACATTCTGCCAAACATTTACTTAAGGCAATGTTCTGACCGTTTGAAATAAAACAAAAAAGGGCTGAGGCAAAACGAGGCCGTTTTGCATAAAAAAAAAAAAAAAAAAAAAAGACGAAGTGGGCCAGCCCTTGTTTTGGGCTCCCAAATCACCAAAAGCGGGCTTTAGCTATCAGCATCAAAAAGAAGGGATCATGAAATCCTTTTTTTAGGTTTTTTTTTTGTGGCATCAAATGCCGTGTCAGGTTTGAATTAAGGTGAGACCGTTTTGGTCCATGCATTATTACTCTTGTATTTTTTTATTTTTTTATGAGAATCGACGAAGGAGAGGAGAGACTATCAAAGAAGTAAAGTTTTTTTTTTTTTTTTTTTTTTTTTTTTTTTTTTTTTTTTTTTTTTTATCCCATAGATGATGTGGCATCACATGTCAGGTTCGAACTAAGGTGAGGTCATTTTGGTCGATGTATCATTACTGTACTTTTTTTTTTATTTTAGAATAACACTTGCAAATTCTATGATTTTTTATTTATTTTTTATTTATTGAGAAAGATGAACCAAAATATAAAGTAATACAATCAACAAGGTGTTTGTTCATTTTTTTTTTTTTTTTTTGGGAAAAATATTACGCAAGTTGTCCTTATTCAATTACCCATTTTTTTTTTTTTTAAATTATAATAATATACCCTTGTCAGTTTGGTTTTTATAAATATATATTCATAAAATATTACTATGTTTCCCGGGTAATTGGCAACTGATCAATTGTGTTTTTATTTGATATTTTTCATTTAAAAAAGTAGTGCAATTTTGTCAGTTCATCTCAATTGTATTAAATAGATTATTCAAAGAAAATAGTTTTCAAAACTACTCCAAACTAAGGGTGTCTGTTGAATTAGCGAGTGGGTCTAAGATTTTTTTGGTTTACACTATAATCACCTACCATTGGATGTAAAGGTTATTATTATATTAATGATACCTGGAAATTCAATAATTTCTAACGCGACAATGTCTTTATATGGACCCAAAATAATTGATATTAGAGTAAGTCAAGTCCTTAATTTAATACGAAAGCAGCTAAATCCCTGCCATAATGACCAACTTAGCAATCGATGACATAAAAGAAAAATAATTGATGATTCGAAAAACAGACGGCCGAAAATAAAATGCAAGCATCTAGACCGTCAAAGTGGGACTTTGAAGCATCCAACGGTGCTGGATGCTTCAGCATCTATTCAGCCTTTTGTTTTCATAGACCGAGTCCCCTTTGCAATTAGATGGAACATTTAAAATAGATATTTGGAAAAAAATACGTATCACATTTATTACTTATTACAAGTAGTTGAGATATTTATAATAAGTTCAATACCTTATACAAACACTGGCCATGTGGTGATTCTCATGTCAGCATCAAAAACAGGGATCATGAAATCCTTTTCAATTTCAATGATTCTAGTAAAGTCAGACTTTTGCAGAAAAAAGGTTTGCAAATAAATGAATTTAAATTCATCAAACCAAACTTATTGATTGACACAGTGCCTACTATACATGGCTGCAGAGTGCGGAGTAATCAAAAGGGTATGCATAGCATAGTGTCGTGGCACCGCACGCGCTCATAAGGGAAGTTTGTATAGGCCTAAACTCATATTGGATGCGGTAATCTTAAAAATGACCACTTTGCACAATGTTATTTACACACGTTATTAATGTGTTGAATCTCTCAGTTAAAATATTGTTTAAGCATAAAATTCCAATGTCTTTCACCTTTTCTATGTGTCATGACTTTGAACAAGTCTAGTAAATTGGTAATGATTTTTTGCTTTTAAATCATGACCTACTTAAATTAGAAAAAGAATGATTAACACAAAATCACATCTTTGGATATGATTAATTGGTTTATCTACTTGGACTGGCAAAATAATTGACATGGTCGATTTCCCCCCAATTTATCATAAATTGTTAAGTACAATAAATAATGCTATCAAACATTGGTTGAAACAATATAAGAACAGGGAGATTATTATTTACTGTGTAAAAATCCTTGTTCGACCATGATTGTTAGAGTAGCCAAAAGAAAAATATTTGACATGATAAAACTAATCTATAATGATATATATATATATATATATATGTGTGTGTGTGTGTGTGTGTGTGATAAAATATAAAGGTTGAGTGATTGTCATTTGACATAAAAGTTTAAATTGTTAAGTGCATATTCTTGTTTTGGTCGAAGTGCTTGCATATCTATTACTATTCCAGTAAGGCTGGACCCAGTAATCACTCACAATCACACACATTTAAGCTTTTAGGTGGACACCCTCATGACGTCAAACCACCTGCCAATTTGCTCCCTAGTTTAATGATGTGAGGGTCAAGTAATTAACGACTTGAACTTGGATGTCATCCCGTGCAC